TCTTTCCCTTCACATACTGATGGTACAAATCGTAAGCAAAAGGGATGATCTCCTCATTGCCCTCCGAGAGTAGGCCAACTCTGTATATCATGCGTGCAAGAAAGCGAGCGGTAAAGGCGCCTCTGGAGAAGCCGAAAATATAGATCTTGTCCCCTTCCCGGTAGTAGCGCATAACAAAGCGGTAGCCCGCAATTGCATGGGCATCGAAGGTCGTAGCAAAGCCACTGTCTATCGACTTGGAGATGTTTGACTTGATGTTGCCAAAAAAGCCCCTATTAATAGGGCCTCCGTTAGTGTGGTATGTGCCAATGCCAGCTGTACAGTTAAATGTTAGCTTTATGCCACATAGGACAATGGCTAGCAAGTTGCTTACTTTGATAGTAGTGGTACTGTGTAGGTTCTTTCCTGTCAAACTTGTCGTACAACTTAACGATGTTAGTGTCTGAAGTATTGCCGTTGAACACGTTGCCAGTGCCATCGAAACAGAGAACAAGCTTCCTTGGGGTAAGTGGGCCTGCCTCGGCAGATTTCTGATCAACAATATGAGGCATGGTAGTAGACGATGCGATACCAAACTAGCCACAAGGGAGGGTACGAGTTTGAATGAGAGACGTGGGGCCAGTTGCGCGATCGAAGGAATGACCTGATGCAGTCTCTCGCACACAGTATGACGGATCAATAGCTCCTTCAATAGATAATGACCAAAAAGAGGGGCATTTGGCGGTGCATTATTCCGATTCAAGAACGAGGTGCATGGGGGGTTGGCAGTATATGTGTTGCGAGTGAGTATCGACGTCAACTCCAGCTCGCGTGCCCACACGCGGTAAGATTACAGCTAGGGATGTAGGGATCCGTCTCAGGAGCGATCTGGACAAACGCGGCTACGACCGCGTTCCCGCATCCTACATTGCTTTTTTCCAGAATAGATGAATGTCAGCACACTTGCAGCTCATCCCATTAGTGGAGATGACGTTATCAGGCGGTGAGAAAGCAGCAGGCCTGTGGATACTATCAAAACAACATCAGTTCTTCTTCCCCACCATCTTTTGTTTTCAAACTGAAAGGACCAATCTGAGGCGAGCTCGGAGGCCTCGTAGCAATGGCTCCCCTCAGATGCCGACTGGGCGCTATCGCTTCACCGCCAGAATTCTGCGCAATTTGGTTTCGGCAAAGAGAGATACAAAGGTTTCGTTCATAAGAGCACATCGTGTTTGACGATGGTTCGACCGAGCCCTGCATCGGGTAGAGCGACCAAACATTGCTTGTTCAGGCTGGTAAGGCAGGCCAAGGCTGGGGATTGGGGTTTAGAACCCTAACCGTATGTAGGCGAAGAGCATGTCTTTCGTACACAGCCTGCTTGTTTGATGGATCATGTTCGGCTTGCTTTGCACGCAAGACCGCATCTGCCATTGCTGGTGGTATACTGAGCTCGCAAAGCTGGGAAATAGGTAGCGCAAGACCTCGAGATAGCGTAGAAGTGAGGTGGCAGCTTTGCCGGTAGAATGCGTCTGGACAATGAATGGACGGTCGTGCAACGAACAAATCGTCAGGAGGTTTGTAGAGGCTGAAGGCAGTCAAGTAATGTCTGTTGCGATGAACTTGAGCAAGCAAGGCTGAGGGACACTAGTGAGCGCCCAGTCTGCCTATGTGCCCATTCGGCCCCGCGACTGTTGTAAAATTAGACCCGCATGGCCGCGCCAACAGTTCATCCGCAATGAACGATAGTGATAATTCGCTAAAAGGGGTTGTTTGTATGGGTATCACATTCTCCCTACATACGAAAACATACATGCTATTTCTATAATTCCCTAAAAGACCCCTCAACAGGTTTTCTACTAACTCCAGTATACTGCTGTTGTGGTAGTTGTTGCTGTTCCGCGCCCGGTGTGAAAGCGCGATATGGCTGCTGCTGCTGTCCCACACTTCCAGCCACGGGCGTATACGACCTCTGCCCTGGGTATGCTGGCGCCGCATTTGTGAAGGAGCCATGGTTTGTTGACTCGGAAGCTGCGTAGCCGGGCTGTAAAGCTGCTGGTGCTGGCGGGGGCGTGTAGGTATCGTACGACGCGGAGGGGTCGGTGTTGTAGGCGTAGGGGTTTGCGGCGGGTGGGGAGGGGGACTGGTGGCGATGGTCGGGTTCGTCGTAGTAGTCGCGTTGGTCGTAGGTTTGTGGTTGATTGTAGGTAGGTTGTTGGTTGTAGGGAGCTTGTTGGTTGTAGGGAGCTTGTTGGTTGTAAGAAGGTTGCTGGTTGTATTGACTGAGCTGGTCGTGGGAGTCGTAGGCTTGGGGAGCGCCTGGCGAGCGGCGGCCGTAGGGTTGTTGCTGCTGCTGCTGCTGCTGCTGCTGCTGCTGTGGCGCGTATCCTTCGTTTGCGCTGTAGACTGGTGATAGGTTGTGCCCTGGCGAACCTCTGCGATAGTCGTCCTGCTGCGCGTATGGTCGGCCGTATGCACCCTGGCCGTCCAACGGGGCTCCTTCGCTGACGAAAGAATCGGTTTGGTATCCGCTTTGAGGGTAGCCCTGACCGTAGTTGTCCATTGGCGATACCGGGGACCGGCCCGGGCCAGGCGACCGTCTTGATGCTGGCACGGCTGCCGCTGCTACGCCTGCCATCGATCCGCTTATTGGACTGCCGTTGCGGTCTAGCCTGTCCATTTCCATGTCGCCTTGCTTCTGAGGCGCAGGCTGTTCCTCGACTTGAACATGGACGTCGCGCCCGTCTTTCCATGTAGGCATTGCGGGCAGGGAGTCTTCGTTGACGACGGCTCTTGTCGAATCGAAAGTCGCGAACTGCGGTCTCTCGGGCTGCGCGGCTGGCGCGAAGGTGGGCATGGCGTTGGAGCGATACTGCTGATTGACCGGGCGGTGGTCGATTGGCGGAGGAGGCGGCGCAGCGGCATGCGCCTGAGCGTAGGGGTTCATGGGAGGAGGAGGCGCTCCATATGGCGTGGGATACGACGCAGCGGGATCGCTCTTGACGCGCTTATGGCCTCTTCCACCACTGCCGCTGCAGCAGCACGTACAGCATCTAAAGCAGCAGCAGGCGCACTCGGCGCCGCAGCATATGCATCGTGCTATGCAGGTAACCACGGATATGACGATGAGGGCGCCAATGATGATTACGACGATAACCGGCCATCTGTTGTCTGTGAGCAAAGGGGAAGCAGCCTGAGGCCTGGCGGTTCAACGCACTTGCAGTAGGCCTTGGCCATGCAGTTGTCCCATGAACTGAGCGTGTTCTTGGCCTCATCCAGCGGATTCCGGCGCGCAAACAGCGAGTGGACGAGTAGCGACGGCATGGCGATATCGAGTGTACAAGTCCTCCGTCCAGCGGGTTTAAGGGAGTCGTTCGCGGTGCAGAGGCCGGCCGGGGTATATGGCTATGGATGGGGATATAACGATCGACGGGACAGGACGTGCCTCATGTCGCTACAGGAGTTCACGGCATCAAGGAGGAAGTATAAGGCGAGGCGTGAGTGTCCGGGTCATGTGGTGGTGCATCGCTTGCTTTGACGTCCCCTGGAATGACGCTGGGTGCCAAAGGCGAAACGGCCGTGAAGCTTGGAAGGGGCGGGACATGGCCAAGCACCCATGCCGACGCGGTCGCCGTGGCTGAGTTAGCCGCTAATCCGCGTTTCGCACCAACATGCCCTCTTTCCCCGCAAAGCCTATCGTCGCGCTATCGTATTTAGACCCGAGTGCAAGATTGTGTCGTCGCTTTTCGATCGCGCGCAGTAGCTTTTCCATGGTTGGTGATGATATGGCGCGGAGTGGAGTTGACAGCGGGGAGGGAGTACGCAATGCTGGTGACGCCTCGCGGCATGCCATCGACAAGAGAACGCCGAACATCAACAACCTGATCTCGTCGCGTCTCATTCCGGCTACATGGCACGATCGTCTCCTCCAAAGCTTGTAGTGTACTACGCGTTCAACAGGTACCATCCGGCAAGAACGGCAGAGGGCGTGCACTTCCATCCGATATCCGACATGGACATATGTAGAGCACGTCGTCTCCTCAGGTGTCATGTCGTTTCATCCATTTCGCGTCAATGATGCCGTTCACTCACAAACCCCGATCCTGGATAGCTGTCTGGTGTCTCGTGAGTTTGTTGAGCCGGTGGTATGATATGCTCTACGTCTGCCTGCGCCCTCACAGCTTGCCTGGTGGCAAATGGCATGCGCCTTTCTTCAAGCCCATGGAACAATGGGCTGTTCTTGATAACTTATACGGGGCGCAAGCATGCATACAAGGCGACACTGTCTTATTGACTAAGATCAGCATCACCTGCTTCGAGGTGAGCCTTCACCTAGCCTACTTGTGCCAACTTGCTCGGCCGGGCGCACTGCGTTCGACATTGGAAGGCAGGCGCGTCATTGGCCGGTTCGCTCCACAGATAGCTCTATATGGTCTCCTCAGTTTTGTCGTACAGGCGACAAAGCAGATGTTCTACAGTAGGTTCAGTATCCCTCGGTAGGTGTGGTGCGAAGACATGCTGAGCGTCAATACAGTTGGGGTGCAGTTCAATTCCAAGGCCTTCAAAGAACATACCTCTTCCAGTCTCATTTGGCTTATGGTCAGGTACGCCGGCGGCGCATCGTATGACATGAAGCCTACATTAACGTCCAACCCAGTTACGCGTCGCTTACCATCTCTGCGTGTGCAGCAATATCCTTCTTGAAGGAAATACACGCAGGCTTGACAGACGAACACGTGACCCAACCACCTCGAGTATCTGCCACGGAGAAGCCACCGACACAGGCTCCATGATACACATGCAAGATATCTTGCTTACCCACCGACCTCTCCACAGTAGTCTTGGACGGTGCTGGCCGCGTCCACAGAACCAAGGTTCCCAGGTGCCAAGCGCTGCCCCTCCCCCACCACCCAGCGGCAGCTTCCCCTTCCAGCCAGCTTCCAGCCGCGGGCCTGCCACACTCATCTACGTCACCGATCACGCACTACCCGCTTGCTACAACGCCTAGCCCTACATAACCAGCCATGTCTTCAACCCCCTCTATCGCCGAACTGCAAGCCTACTCTGAGGAGATACAAGCCCTTTACAAGAAACTTCCCAACCTCCGCGACCTGCCCGACAACAAAGTCAACGAGACAGCCGTACTCGAACAGGACGTCAAGAACCTCGACGTGAAGGAACAGTCCCTTGAAGACAAAGTAGACGCCTACGTTAAAGGGTTCCTTTATATCGGCGGACCGAAACCTCGACGACAGAAGCAATCAGTCACCACATCGACCTAAACAAACATGCCGGACCACCCAATTGAGCAGGGCGCCGCTGGCAGTACGTAACAACCTTCTCTTCCCATTCACCACACCATCCAGCCCGCTCAAGCCATAACTTACGCGTCATCTCCACAGGCCTCACCGACAAGATCGCAAAGGAGTCCTCCGACTCAACCGCATCCTCGCACGACAACCACGCCGAGGGCGGAAACCTACACGCTTCAGCTCACAATTCCAAGGTATGCTATTCGCGTGCCGTTGTTATACACATGGATCGGAACGGAAGCTAATACATTTATAGGGCCCAGCCATTCCGGACAACATGCCCAAGGCGGAGAGCAAGGAGGACCTCAAGAAGAGGGCTGAGGAGTTGAACAAATAGAGTGGTTGAGGAACACACGTGTGCGGTGGATATACACATCATATTCTAGGAAACAGTGAAGAGCAGCTTATAGCATGCGGAATATACCTTCAATTTCAGCACACGCTCTTGTCGCTCTGGTGTTGCATCTGCTTTCGTCTTTCTTCTTCGTGGTTCGTACTTGCGATCTGTGCCGGCTGCGGTTTGGGAGCTCCTCCCAGGGTCGAGTCATGCCGAACCATGCCAATGTGCGATAGTGCCTATGACGTCACCCCGTCTAACTAAAATGATGAATTCGAAGACCAGACGACTCCGATCGTTTGCCCAAATGTTGTGTTTTCGTCTCAACTCATCTATCCTGGATCGCATCGTTCTTGTTCGCAGCCTTGCATTGCTAATGGCGACCAATCTCTCATTTAGGAACTGGGTCCCGAGGGCGCGGCTGAGATGCGCAGCCATACTCAGCCTGGTGCGCAGCATCTAGGCAGCTTTACAAGCTGCGTGCTGACATGGCAGCCTCCTTTTGTCTTTTCATTCTTCACGTCCTCACTCACGTTAGACGCCACTCTATATCTTCCTGATCCTCCAACTGTATGACTTTGGATTGAGCTACATCGCGACCCCAACCACACCCCTGTTCATATTACTGTAATGTTCATCTCTTGATCACGCTTTGGTCTCACAACAACTTCGCCGTTTAACCTCAGCTCTGGTTCAAAACTCTCTGTTCTGCAGGTTTCAGGCAACGGCCATGTCTAAAGCTGTAGCTAGAGCTGGATCGCTCAGTCCCGAGGTTCGCCTCGCTCAAGCTGTCTCCGAATTCGAAGCCGACCTGCCCAGCGAAGAGACGTCTGCGTTTCGCGCGCTGCAGGCGCAGGCGATTCTAGCGACACCTTCTCCGTGCGATGTCATGCGACTGACTGCCGAATTTGACCGTCGCATGTCGAAGAAATTCGGCAGTCGATGCTTTGGCCCGCGCTTCACCTACTTCCTTCAAGCGGTACAGCAATTCGCTGCACTTGGTGACGTCGTTGTTGGAGGCTCGCAAAATCTGATTGCATGTGGTGTGTGGTCACTGGTACGCATGTCGTTGTTAGTCAGTAAATGCTGTTTTCTCCATTTTCCGGATCAATTACTGAGAGTGTCCAGTCGTTTGTCAGCGTGTCGAACCACGTAGAAAAGCTATCATCGATATTCATGGACATTGGCCGTTCTTGCCCACGCCATCAGCAGATTGCCGTACTCTATCCGCTCTCAACGAATCTGCAGGCGTACGTCCTAGAATATTTCACCGTGGCCGTTTGTCTATGTCGTCATTTGTTTAGGTTCGGAAGGAAATCAGCCCTTCAGCAATTCACATCATCCCTAAGCGATGGGGACCTGAAAGCATTTCAGTCTGACCTCGAGAAGTGGGCACATTCGATTGCACAAGAGATGCGACTGAGTGAAGCTCAAGAGAGTTCTGTTGCTAGGGCTTTAACCAGAGTAATGTTTGACTCTGCATCGTACCAACAGAAACTTGCCGCGAAGAAGCGAGTGCTCGACTTCTGTTCCACGTATAACTACGAGACAGTTTGGAAGCAGACAAGGAAGGCTGGAAACACTTCGCTTCATACCCGTTCCGCCGAATATAGAGAGTGGAGGTATCACGCGCATCCCTGCACACTAGTATTCACTGGAAAGCTAGGATCAGGGAAATCGGTGTTGCTAGCCAATATCGTGGACGATCTCAGCCTCTCAGCCGAAAAGGATGCACCCTTGGTAGCATACTTCTTCTGCAGGCACGATTTACCGGAAAGTCTGCAAGCACGCACTATTTTGGGCTCACTGGCGTGGCAAATGCTGCGGAGTGTTTCTGACTTCGACACAGCTTCAGGCATGTGCGAAGACAATCACACCACTGGAAACATTGATACGATACTGCGGATGCTCCTCCAAGCCTACCCTCATAGTCATAAAACATTCTTCGTAATAGACGGATTAGACGAATGCCATGACGAGGAAAGGGCAACGCTAGTACGAGCAGTTCGGGACATTCAGTCAAAGCTAAAGGTCTTTGTTTGTGCCTCTTTCCGTGTAGAGCCAAACAAGAGTCAGTAACGTACCTGTACAAACTGCATGCGAGGCGACTACTGACCTTCCAATTCCATCTTTAGGTCTACAATCAATCACACGTCGCCTCCTAGATGCTCGCACGGTTTCATTACCCGAAAGCAACCCAGACATCGAGACCTTCATCGAAGCAGAACTCTATCGATGTCTTGATCAAGATCTTCTCAACATCGGAGACTCTACTCTCATAATCGATATCCAAGACACGCTCCTTCAGGGGTCGCAAGGAATGTTCCTCTGGGCGGCTCTTCAGATCCAGTCATTGTGTAGTATGAAGACAGATCACGCGATCCGCGAAGCATTGAAAGATCTGCCAAGAGACCTTGCACAAACCTTTTCCCGCATCTTACACAAATCAGGAGCCTCGGATCCGTCGCTCCAAGCAAAGATACTGGAGGTCGTATTGGCAGCTTGCCGACCTCTGACGACTGAGGAGTTGAGAGAAGCCTTAAGCGTCGATCCCGGACATGCAGTATGGGATCCGTCTAAGATGTTGAACGATGTGCAGTCAGCCCTAGCCTGCTGCGGATGTCTTCTTACTGTCGATGAGGAAGAGTCGACTGTCCGAGTCATACATCACAGCGTCAAGCAATACATTCTTCATGGTCTTGACGACGTGAAGTACATGGGCTTCTCTGTTGGAAGAGCACACGGAACGTTGGCGGATATCATTGTTACCTATCTTGGGTACGGTGTTTTCGAAACCCAACTTGAGAGAAACAATGCCCGTCCGATCTTAGCACAAGCAGTGCCTTCTACGGTCATGCGAAACACCATGGGCGGCTCGAGCTCCGCTCGGCAACTTGCTATGAAGCTTCTCAAGTCCAAGAAGCAACCCGCGTTTGACTTGAGCAAGACGGTTGCTGAAGCTCGTGGGCATTCGTACTCTGAACCCCAGGACGGATTCAAATTCTTTGGTTATGCGACGACCAATTGGCAGAATCATATTCCATACGTTACAAGTCGAGCTGATGCTATCTGCGAGCTTGCAACTACGCTAATTCGGAGTCGATCCTCGGAGCTGGAAACGACGAATGCAGATTCTAATTTGTATTGGAGCTTCGCTGCCACCACGCATCAAGACACAAGAGTTCTCGAATTGCTGATGCTGCAATCTATGAAGATAAAGCAGTGCGCAATAAAGACATTGGAGTTCCAAGTGGAGACCGAAGTATTCAATAGCCTGCATACACAAATATCGAGGTCAGGACGGACTGGGATAGACACAGTAATAGTATCGAAGACCGGTGACAAGGACACTATCGAAGTACTCCTGAACGCCGGGGTTGATGCCAATAGCAATAACGACGGGGCAACGCCGATAATCGTTCTGGCAGCGAGCAATAGAGACGAAAACATGATTAAGTTCCTACTCAGCTTCAGCACGGTTGACGTCAATGCGGGCGACAGTTCCGGGGCCACCGCAATGAGAAAGGCCGTAGAGCAGGAAACCGAACAAATCGTCAAGCTCCTTCTCAGCTCTGACAAGATGGATGTCAACGTGAAAGACGATGTTGGGAATACTGCATTGCTGCAGGCCATCGACACTGGAAATGAGCGCATTGTGAAGCTACTGATCAACAACGATAAGGTTGCCATCAACGCGCAAAACAGCGCTGGGGGCACAGGACTACTCAAAGCTGTGAAATATGGAGATGAGAAGATCGTCAGACTGCTACTGGCTATTCGCAACATTGACGTCAATGCGAGAGACATAGATGGGAAGACTGCATTAATGCACGCGGCGTGTAAGAGGAACAAGGACATGATGAAGCTACTGCTTGGAAGCAAGGGCGTCGATGTTAACATCAAGGATGATACTGGAAGAACTACATTACTGGATGTAGCAAGTAAAGGATACAGCGACGTAGTCAAGCTGATGCTGACAAGCAAAAACATCGAAGTCAACACAGCGGACAATACAGGGTGGACGCCACTGATGTATGCAGCATTCCACGGAGAGATAGAAGTGGTCCGGTTGCTTCTTACTAGTCGCAAGATAGACGTTAATGTGAAGGGGCAATATCACGTTACGGCGTTGACTTTGGCGGTAAGTAAGAGTCATCAACATGTTGTTGAGCTGCTGGTACTTTCACGCCACTAGGGTTAGCTACAATTCATATCGCACGTTGCCGAATGCGTACTACTAAATCCTAATAAACTGATAGTCTCCAAGTCAACGTGGACGTCCAGCTTGACCGTTTACTTAATAATATGTTTGTTGAATGCATGCGATACCGATGGTATTGCCGAATACATACTTCAAAAACTTTATAAACTAGTAGTCTCTACGTTAACGTAGACGTCTAGCTTAGCCGTAATGTTAATAGTATGTTTGTAGAATGCATGCAACACGGATGGTAGCTACCTCTATTAGTAGCAAAAGGCAACAGCAGGGGCTTAAGCAGCTTGCAACAAGCATAAATTGAGCTGCATCTCGGGCTTTAGTGAGACTCTGGACGGTTCCACGGCTACTAAAAGCTCCTTGACATTCACGGTCACTACATAGGCAAACTCAGCGCGACTTCTAGATACTACTAGTTTCGATATATTAGTCCGGTCGCAAAAATTTGTGCTCTATATCCACGAGCAGCTGTAGATTATTCTATTAGTGCCTCTTAATGCATTGATCATGATTCGACCGCGGATCACAACACTAAAAGTTAGCATGATGACTTCCAAATTACCTAACAGCTAGAAGATGGGACTTGTGACCCCGAAGACTGTTGTTTGTTGACCATCTGTACCGTCGCAGGTGCAAGCTAGACTGTCCACCTCTTAGCTAAGGCCAGAACATTCGCTGGCTTCAAAGACGGCATGTTGTAGGCAATCTCTGATCACGTGTCTTGATTATATTGGGAACTTTGCAAAGTAAACTATTATTCAGATACTGTATTTGGTCACTAGCGGTAAAAGGTTGACGTTCGCGATGTTGCGTGTTGATTGAGGTTGCTGCACCGCTACCTGGCGAAGACGATGAGAAAGTCCGTCGCATCCCGAGGTCTCGTTCACCGTCAGGAGCAAAGGTCAACAACGCGTAAATTATATCACGTGGTTTCTTTTCAGGACACGTGGTACCAAAGAGACCTTACATGGGCCAAGCAAGCAAGCAAGGTAACTAAAAGGTATGTGATATCTTGCTGCATACATACTATCAAATGTTAAGAAGTGAGCAGTTCCTAAGGCAATGTAGGCGTCTAGCTATGTAGTTTGCTTAATGATATTTTTATTCAATGCGACACAAAGTGTAGCTGCCCCTAGTAAGACTTACTGAGTGATCGAGATTGTATGAGATGTTTGAAGGTGACTTGTGATTCGAGATTCTAATTGAACTTGAGTAATATAGAGTGCATCTTCGAGCCGGGTCTTCGCTCTCTTCTTAGCGACTGAACTCGATTTAACTGGCTATCGGCGAGCCGACCAATTCCTCGTCAGTGGCTTCGACTGTCTGCAGATTAGGTATCCTGAAGAGTATCAGATCCTGGGCCGTTGGCTTTCCAATTTTGATGCTCGAAGCCATCCCTCGAGTTTCAAAATCCATCTTCCGGTACATCTTCATTTCTCCTTTGATGTCATGCCTGTGATCGCGATCCAGAGGTATAACCTTCAGTGGAAGACCCGGTCGGCCGCTTAGCGCTAGTCGTGTGATGTCCTTTACAAGCTCCCATTCATACATCATGTAACCAAAGAAGTCATTATCATCATCGTCGGCGGGAAACAACATTCGTATGCTGATTTCGCAGGTCCTTTTCCGTTCCATTCTTCTCAAAGTGTGCCCTACGAATGGATGCAGTTCCTCGGCTGTGCACTCTCTTTGATTGTAGACCTTACTATCATTGCCCAGGCTAGGGTTCTGAAGCAGTAGCGGCAGGATGATTTCGTTGTACCAGGATGCGAGGACGAGACTGATAAGTTTGGTTCCGTTGTCGTCCCCCAGTTTCTGGGGTTGGGCTAACAATGTACAGCGTTGTCTCCTAGCCTCGTGGAATATGTCTGATATTAAGGTGAACATAGTCTCCCTTGCGGCAGACCTAGGTACTGGGCCGATTGTAACTTTAGGGGACTTCTGCATATTCCTCGTTCTCAAGTGTTGTTGAGCCTCGTCGAGAATTGTCTTGTTCACTTGAAGTAGGGCGGTCGGCATTCGAAGTTCTGCCCAGGTGCCGATAACTGGCGTGGGAAATACATGTTTGAAAACACGCTCGGGGAAGTAGTCGTAGATGTAACAGCGCAGTTCGGTTGGTAAGGCCATTAACAGAGACTTATCTGTATTCTGCATGGTTTCTGCGGCCATGAGTGGACTTTGGGGGTAGAGTTGTGGTTTGGGCGGCGTTGTTTCTTGAGTGCAGTGTCGCTGGTGTTGAAGGCGGCGGTGAAGAAGGAGATGAATACGAGGACGCTGTTTTATACTAATTGAAAATCTGCTGTCGCATTTGTGTGGCTGACCCATTTGAAACGCTCGATACTACAGTTACCAGTTTGTTGCTATGATCCATGGTTGGCCTATGTCGTTCGCGGGCGAAGCAGCACCAAACCATGGATTAGGATATCCATCGACTTGACTGCGATCACGCAGAACGGAACGAGCCACTTCCATATTGCGCAAAGTCAATAAGCTACGCGAACAGACACACAAGAGGGTCCGCAGGTACCTAGGGAGGTTACAATAGGGTGGCTTGTTCGGAGACAAGGTGCCCAGGTGAACTTTCGAGGTGGGCTTATGATGGTGTGACTTGTGATTCCGAAGTTCCGAACCTTCGGGAGATTGGCAGCCAATCAACGCGTGCTTTATAATCGTGTCAAATTGCCCCGGGAATCGCCGCAGATGACATAGGCTTCGGCGAATTTAGTGACAATGCACCAGCCGTACCTTGCCATCTATTCACTCAACACACGCGCCTTACCAAGTCCACTCGCAGCACTCCTTGGACCTCTCGCCCTTTGACCATGTCGCTGCCTCGAACTACGACTGCCTTTGCGCGCTCCAGCTCGACATTCCTACGATTCGCCGCTCCCTCGGCTACTCCCCGCAGATGCCCGCAATGCGCGCGCACTTTCGCCTCGTCGATACCGTATCGACAGTCAGCTAAGCGCCAGATGCAGACGGCGACTGCATACCACCCTTCGTCACTATACCCCCAGCCGCCACCAAGGAATGCTGGCGTACCCGACACATCGATAGCTGGTGGAGCAGCCGAGGCAAACAATGCGAAAACCCCACAACTACCGCCGCAAGAACACATTCCCGCGACACCTTCCGAGCAACCGAACGTGAGCATACCCGAAGGCGAAGCACAGAAGCCACAGCAGGTAGCAGGTGCCAGTAAGCCGTTGCGGCCGCGTCGCTACAACTTCGGGCCACGGAAGGCGACCATCAAGCTATCACAGTCGGCAGTATCGCACCTTCGCGAACTCCTTGAGTTACCAGAGCCCAAGCTTATCCGGATTGGCACAAAGGCAAAGGGCTGCTCGGGGTTAGCATATCACTTGGAGTACGTGGACAAGCCAAGCCCACTGGACGAGCAGGTTGAGCAGGATGGCGTCAAGGTCCTGATCGACAACAAGGCCCTGTTGAACATCATTGGAAGTGAAATGGACTGGCTGGAAGACAAGCTGAACGAGCGCTTCATCTTCAAGAACCCCAACATCAGTAAGTATTGACACAAGATGCTACGAGAGACCAGGACTAACAATTTCTAGCGGAGCAATGTGGCTGCGGAGAGTCCTTCAGCGTATCATGATACCCTTACGATTCGATCACTATACCTTATAGAAGCATTACCGGCGTTGCATCTTCGGCGTTACACATACATATGACATAATTCGAATATCATTACCACCACCGGTAGCACGATTGCTACTTGGCTTCTCCACGTACCTGCAATACACTCGCGACAATACCATTGCAAGTAGTACAAGAGCACTGTTTGGAGACCATCACACCTGCACGAGTCGGCCGCGTACTTGCAGCACTGGGTGCCAGTGGCATTCTTCATTCGTTACTGACACTACATCTACATCTTCCCTGGCTCGTAGTCGAAGACTTTCACGCCATTCGCCACCTCCCCAGCAAGCTTTACGAACTCCTGATGGGCAGGGTCTTTGTATACATAGTAGTCGCGGTCCTCTTCATTCTCAAACTCCACTACAAAACCATGGGTTGAGTTGCCCTGCGCATGTTAGCAGGTATGAGGGAACTTGGGGACATGGCATACGCTGTGGCCTTCAGGGCTGTTGTTCTTGCCCCCTGAGAAGGACTTGATGTATGGCTTCTGGGAAGTTGGATGAATGCACTGGTCTTTCAAACCGAGCATGCGACTGCAAGCCTATGATGTATTAGTATATATGAATGTATATTTACATGGCTATGAAGGTACTTCTGATATCTGCTCTGGGGAAGCTGTGGACTTCCACTCGAATAGTACAATGTGAATGATCGTCATCTTGAGAACAAGGCAATACGAACAACTGATCAGGATGCGAGGAGTGGTGATGTAGCGAATGGCTAAAGAGGGGCAGTCAACATGGCGGGATGCACTTCGGATATAATGACCTCAGCGCTGCTAAGCTCCGGGCGAGCTGCCGCGTCGCATGGTCGATAGCGCGAACATCGCGAACCGCAGGATCACCACCAGACATACCACACCATTGCGAATAATGAAGCTACGACCGTTATGACCCCATGCAGATACGATATCCCCAATCAATAGCTCACAATCACCTGGACCCCCCAGTAGCCGCCGCAGCTTGCCACATCCCACGCTATGTCGAATGCGCCAGCTCTCCCCGAGCAACTCATCTATCTCATCATACGCTTCACAGCCTCAGTACCGGACCTCCCACTCTCAATACATACCCCGCGCACAATCGCAACCGTCTCCCTCAAACAGCTCATCCGCCAACACCTCCCATCCGAACATGCCTCGGCGCGCCTACGCCTCATCTACGCAGGCAAAGTGCTCGCAGACACCGAGCCACTATCGAAATCCCTACGATTACCACCCCCACCGCCTCCTCGAAACACCAAGAATAGCGATGCAGGGGGAAGCGGTAGCGCAGAAGCCAGCAAGAGCAAAGGCAAACAACCCCTACGAGAAACACCCGCAGTGGAATACGGCACAACAACAGACATACCCCCCTCAGCAAAAAAATACTACATCCACTGTTCCCTCGGCGACGCGCTCTCCGCCCCCGAACTCGCCAGCGAAGCCACACTCGCCCAGAACACAGAGATAGCATTGAAGTCGCATTATACATCTTCCTATTCTTCCCCCGGACGGCGCGCAAGCAGTACGACTATAGACCACAATGCGCGGAGACGTAGCTCGACGGCTACGACGAATACGGCGAATACAGTGCCTCAAGCTCAGGGGTTTGATAGATTGCTAAGCTCGGGGTTTACGAGGGATGAAATCGCTTCTCTTAGGGCGACGTTTACGCAAAACCTCTCTTTCACACACACGCCCGATACGATGCCCACGCCCGCACAGATTCGTGTCTTGGAAGAAAGGTGGTTGGACTCTTCCGCTAACGATCCTTCTGCCTCGCTTACAGGCGGCGCTGGGGCGACGGGTGGTGCTGGCACAGATGCGGGCTGGGGCGCGGGGTTTGCGGTGGAAGAAGGCGGGTTGGACGATATGTTGTATGGGTATCTGACTGGCTTCTTCTTTCCGCTGGGAAGTCTGGTGTGGGGCTTTAGGGAGGAGGGTGTTTGGACGAGGAGGAGGCAGGTTGCTGTTGTCATGGGGGTTGTGCTGAATGCTGTCTTTGGGTTTATGCGTTGGGGTGGGTAGGTAGATTCGAGATGGGAAGACATGATGGGATGGGAGAGGGTGGGCTGTGTAGTGTCCGTATGACGGGGGTTGATAAGATGGTTTATTGATACGATGTCGTCCTAATGTTAGGAATCGTACAAGATCTTCACTGCGATCATTGTTAGTCTTGTCGTCTACATGTCACGTTGAGGGCAAGTCGTCCATGATAACATTTGCGCTGCCGAATACTCATATGCCACAACGCGTGCAGATTCTACCAACTCCTGTAGTTGCATCATACACATCACACAATCGGCTTTGTTGTTGAATGCGAACAATATTCCAGGATGCGGCAAGCACCGTTGTTATTGCAAACTGATGTGCTCGAGTCTAACCTGCAGCCTCCTACCACCACTGCCACATGAGAGAGTCAGACGTTCAGCTTTAGTGCTGAAGTGGTCTTAGTTTAGGAAAGTTCCTGTAGCGTGCCAACAGCGTTTCAACGGCGTCATGCAAGCGCATGCACTACGCAGGTGTGGCGCAGACGCTATTGTTTCCACCGTCTGCGCTGTCGACGTCCTGCAATGCAAATGCAACAGGGCAACCATGGTGACGAAGGGTAAATTGGGGAGCCGGTGGTGCAGTACGCTGTGGTAGGTAAGTAAAGCGTCTTTGGGTAATGTTGATGGGGGCAACCTGTTATTACCTTGAGTAACGGGTCAGCGCGTCAACAATGTCGCAATAGTAACAGTCACCAGAAGAAGACGGTTGTGTGGGTATTATAGTAAGTCTGATTGAAAGCTGGGGGTATCTATGCGACAGGTCCGTGATCGATCAAGAATGATTTCCTCTCCACGACCCTTTGGCATCCATCTCTTTCAGACCGTACAAAACAAAAGGAAAAAGTGTTCGCTCAAACTCCATGCTTGCTGTTTCGTTCATTACCGCATCCATCTTCCTTGCTCGGGTATAGGGTATAAACATCCACACTCTCTGGTCCGAAAAGAGACAATCGCGCTCCGTCCGTTCCTCTGCGCAGAGCACGCGGCGACGAGTTGTAAGCGTATATCGTCGTGTGGTTCTGGCAATGAAGAAGTAACGGCCGTCGACCGATCGTCGTTCGTCGTCGTAGTAGTAGTTGGGTAGTAGATATAGCGCCTTAGTAGTACCCGTATCTCCTCATGCGCCATCCTTCACAAGGGGAAGTAATGATCAGTACGGCGACATGTGGGAAACGGGTTCACACTAGACTCTACTAGTATGCGTTGTCCTCTTTCGGCCGCCGCCGCGTCCGCAGGTGAGGCAGCTGATGATGATGCCGAAGAGGGAGACGATGGCGTTGATGATTGCCTTAAGACCAGCAGCGATGGCGTTGACAATGGCCATGATGCAGTTTCCGATGGTGCGGAACTAGACAATGTTAGGAACAGTTTGTATAGGCAGGAAAGTGAGGGATACGTACGACCGACTTGATGCAAGAGACTACGGCACCCATGATAGCGGTGTTGTTCTGGTGAAGGCTTGGGTGGTGTAGTGGATGGAGGACTCGAGGTAGAGAGGCGAGTGTTCGTAGGTTCGTTGGTAGATGGTATGGTTTGGGGAGAGTGTGGTATCACAACAAAGGGCTTTGAGCCCTCTCACTTATAAGCAGCCGCGAGCCAGGCGCCGGAACAACGACCGCCCTTGCACAACGGCTACGTCACGCGGCGTCCGTGCCCCTTGTCCTCCAGATCCTTCACCTCAATCTTTGGCCTGCGTAACGAAATTTCCCGACTCAAACTCCATTCCTGCAGGTGACTGTGCTGCGTCTGCAAACAGCCAAGCTCGCAACGTCAGCGGGAAAAGTCAGGTTTGCGCCAACCAAGCCGCCCGATGCGGCAAGGATGGGCGACGGACGCGCTCAAAGCAGTCGCGCAAAACAGGGTTGGCCCTGCGACGTCGACGTCGGGTGTGGGTCGCGCGCCACAACCTTAAAGAGCGCCGACGTCACTGCCCGTCCCTGATGCAGTAGCGATCGCAGCCTGCGCGTGGCTGGGCCCATGGGCAACGCAATGCCCGCCTCTCACCATCGCGATGCCTTTGCCATGGCAGCCCCCGAAGCAGGTAGACCGACTTTTGATAAGCCCATGCTGCTGATTTGGTGCGGCCACGCTACCGCTGCGAGACGTTGTGCGACGCCAGACAACCGTTATCGTGCCAACCACGCCTGCCCGCCCACCTCCTTCTCCTCACCTGTAGCCATCATCCACCCATATTTGATCACCCCAGATGCTCTTATCCGGCATGGCTCCACCGTTGCAACATTCCCAGAACTGTCGTGCAGCCTGCATCGTCCGTGTCCGTAACTGTGACGTAGCCATCTGTGGCGGCCCATCTAATTCTCTTCCGCATCCTTGCACACAACGAGCGGCTCCAAATCTCCACCCAACCCGTGCTGCCATCTTCTCCAGCCGCTCTCTCGCCTCGTTGATGAGGTGACGCCACAGCTCAAACACGCGTGCGTGGGTCATCCACCCATATTGACATCAGTCCGTCAGGCAATCTCAGCAAACAGGGCAACGGCACGCGGGCCACATGGGTTCTCGTCTCAACGTCTCACCACCTTTTCGCAAACCCATGTCATCATCCGTACCGCGGGAGCTAGTCTTTCCAAGCAACTGCAAGCAAAATCGTGGTCTAGACTGCCCGGTCGCATGCTCATATCGCTTGGAGGCCATGGCATCTTTCCAAGGCATCTGCTGGAAATAGCACGGCTAACCTGGCACATCGGAATTAACACCAAAACACGATCTTGGATCGGACCCTCGATGCCCAGAACCGCAATCTTGCTCTCAATCTCCATGTCCCTCTGTCGTGGAGATTAAAGATTAAGCAGAGCGGCTGGGAGCCGACATGGCTCATGGGCGTTTCAGGATTTATTGTTTTGTACCCATGTTTGCGGTGAGAAGGTTTAGCGCTGGTCTTGTCCCTTGGTCTGGTGTGGCTGGTGACGCGCCGTCGCAATGTCTGACATCGGACTTCTGCGCACAAGGAGCGGGCCGCCGGTCGACGCTCGAGGAAAAAAGTTGGTACAGTGGAGTCTAACCGGCCAACAGCACACATCACGCATGCATGCACCAACCTCATCAAAGGTAGCATAGCCCACCATCAGCGACGCAATGTTTCATCATCATCATTGTTCCATTATGCGCATTGCCACTTCTGCCTTCGTCTAGCTACTCTCCGGCTTTGTTCGTTATTCATACACTTCGTAAACATGCCGTATCCAACATCGTAAATCAAGCGCCGAGATGCTCTTTCTCCCGTCGCGAAGCCATGCAGATACTGCTAACGTCATGCTGCTGAGGAAAATGGAAAAGGAAATGTCGTCTGCTTGTTGCTGTGGGTATATGGGGTGTTGTCGAAGAATCATGGGTATTCATTGCTGATGCTGCGTTGAAAGACCAATACAGATGTGCCGAAGCGATGTTCGATGATCGATGCGATGTTTACGGGAATTCGTTGAGCTCTTCACCTCATACAAGAAAGACCCCGAACAGGTCAAGAGCATACGCCGACGT